GACATAACTTTTTGTAATAGGTTATTTGGGGATTAAAAACAAAACAAACAGGTATTATAAGGAAAAAATATTGCCACATGAGGGCATGCTTCATCTCTTTCAAAAGGTTGCCTTTTTGACTCAGATCTAAGGCAAGTTACATTTCAAGAGCTAGTTTTAGGAAAAGGGAAAACTCAGTTTTTATTTATGATCTGCTAGGTTTCTTACATACCAATTAAGTGCAAAATTAGCACAAACTTTGAAAAGAAACATTCTTTATTTCCATCCACAGTCATACTGTTTTCCTGTGGTGGCAGCAACATACCCTCTGAGCTTAGGGTATGAGGAGATGAGCTATCTCAATGAATAATATTCATATTCCATGCCATTTAGTATGGAATAAACACAGGACACAAAAATCAAACACAAAGTTATGAAAGATACAAACTTCACCTTTTGCCCAATGGGAACATCTTCCTGGCCAATCAGCCATGCCAAGACAAAGGGTGACATCTCTTACTGCCCTCTTGCAAAAGAAGGGTGGGGTTGTGAGGTTCCCCAGGGTTTCCCAGCTCTAGTGCACCACTGGATTGTCTCCTCCCAGGAAAGACTGCCCATGAGTCTGTGCCCCCTAGATCCTGAGATTGCTGCCAAACCTGCAGTATACCTTTATGGGGATTTCTCAAATCACATGGTCACCCCAACAAAGTGTCACCTGCAAAGTCCACCTTTTAGGCAAAACTACCACTGTCAGGCTTTCAGAGTTCATCAAGTCATTTGTGGTAACAGCCTAGAAATTAATTAGGCCTGTAGATGCTACTGACAGGCAGCAAGAGGTTAATCTGTCCACCCAGAGAGCTGCACCAGAGCAGGAATGATCCTCAAGGCCCCAAACTTTCTCTGGTCCTCAAAGGAGGATTTTGTACCCATGGTGGAGCACAGTGACGAATTAGGAAACAACAGCATCCAAGCCTTTGAGTCACTAGAAGTAATTTTTCTTCTAGTGAGTCAGAGTATCTGCACATTCTTGCTTCCTGGAAACTTGAGCATTTAAACATTCAACATCCCACTCAAGTATCATGTCTGTATCCTGGAAATGATTCTACAAAACATTAGGTTTCTCCCAGCTAATTCCAGCTAATTCTATTCTCTAGCCAATATCCACTGATGCTCAACATGCTACAGGACCTAGCCTTGAGGTGATTTGTTAAAATAAAATGGGTAGATGTTTTCCCAAATTCCAGAGGAACAGGGTCACATGCCAAGTTTCAGAGCCTGACACTCACTTGACCTGGGCTCAGAAGTTCCTGCCAGAGGAGCACTAGATCCTAGAGCCTTCATCATTGGCTGATGCAGGGAACCAGGAAGCTGCAGGGACTGTAGCCCTCACAGCACCCGGCTGCACAATTTTGGCAACTTGAGCTTGTGCTGACTAAGATGTTCACACTGACGATAAAAGCCAGCTCATGGGGGAAATCTTTCTTTGGCTTCTCCCTTTATCCCAGAGATGTAAATTCACTATGTGTGTCTTTCACCACCACACCCATGCTCCAAGATGACTTCATCTGGCCATGGAAAAGACAGACAAAACACGAACGCTCTGATGCCTGTGGAGACAGGTGCAGTAAAAGCCATGGGTAGAGCAGTAAATAAATTGAGAGACAGGTTTTTAATCCAGTGACATGGATCATGTTGAATTCCCACATATTTTTGTTGCTGTAAACATGTTTCAATTATGAAATTGAAAGATGCCAGGCTTTATGTTCTTACTGTAAAATATCACAGGAAAATGCACTGTGATATTGAATGGGATCAACACAGGTAATAGTGACTAAGATTTTGCTCTTTTTCCTGTGATGTTACCAAAAGTAGTTTTGAATTTATACCTCAGCACATAAATACCTGGACATTTACAAGCATTCATGGGGCCAGACACATTGCAACCCTGGCTGAGCAGACCTGAAGGAACAAGAAGCCCGAATACCCACTTGCAGTTTAGGGAGGGATCAAGTTTCTCCTTAACTGCCTTGCCAGGCCATAAACTGATTTTTTGTGCATCGCCTGGCTTCTCTGTCAGCTTTTGCACCACAGCCGGAACCCATCCATCCTCCTAGGCCATCACTGCTCCTCAGAGCCCTGCAGCTCCTGGCAGAGCTGTGGCTGGCCACCACTGCCCACTGGCTCCTGATGCTGCCCCTTCCTCAAGGACTTTGCACAGCCACCCTATCACCCTGGAAGGGCTGCACTGCAATTTTCTAATTGGGTGGAAATAGCAGCTGTATCCCCCTGTGCCTACCAGGAATAAAAGCAAAGGCAGGGAGATGATCATCCGCTGAGTGCTAAGGGAGAGGAAAGGTACCCCACTTGCTTGCCTGGCCCCTGCCATGCACAACACCAATATTATCTGCACCTCTGAGCATCCCAGGCTTGCCTGGCACCAGGAGATAAAGGAATTCCATCATATCTTTAAGGAGGGATGGGGTGCATGAGAGGTAGCCTGTGACCCCATTTCAGAATTAGCAGGAAAAGCTCAGTGAGTGTGTGGGAGCAGGTGGCCGCAGGAACACGGGACACTTGAGTCACACATGGTGAAGACCAGCCTGAAGCAGACACCATCACCCAGCTGGGGCAGCAGGATGGCCCTCCCACAGCTCCTGTCCTGAACAGTGTTCTACATACATACAGGAATGAACTCCAGCACCAGAGGAACAACCTTCCCACCAAGCAGAGAAGGAGGTGCAGAGAGCAGAGTGAGAGGGACTGTCATCTAAAGAGTGCTCAGAGGAGGGAAGTAAAAAAGATGGAGCTGAGCCAAGTAAAATAAAAAAAAACAAAGTAAAAATAAACAGAGCAAAGTAAAAAATAAATATGTAAAAAATAAAGGGGAAGGAGAAGTAGCCACTTTCTCACTAACTTGTGCCTCAGCAGCACAGTCCTCTCCTAGATCATGGACAGACAAGGGTGGGTCTCAACAGGACTTTGTCCCTGCAGGAACATCACCCATCAGACCAACCCCCACAGCAGGAGCCTTCTCCCGACAGCAGAGGAGCTGATCCCACCCACAGCAGCCAAGGAGGCTGCTCCATGACCCGGTGGATGATGAAGGGTGATGAAGGACCTGAGCCCCTGGGTGCCATCTTAACCTGACCCATGCTGCCATTTCACAGGTGGCTCTGGCTGGGAATCAACAGGAACCCAACGCCCCGGTCGAAGGCTAGAGCAGCTCGCAGGCTACAGCGGGTTTACAGATAGTGCCACCAGTGCTCCCAGGAAAACACAGAAGAGGAAAACACTTCCTTTTTCAGTTTGTGCCCTCCTGGATTAGGCAGGATGAGGACATCTGATGTCATCTGCCCATCCAGGCGGCCTGTGAACATCCCCATGGGGGACTGCCACCCAGAAGAAAACCTTCAGGGAACATAAGAGGGCACAGGAGATGACCTCTTTCCTGAGTCCACAATGTCCAAGGCATTGGCTGGCTCACCATCTTCCCCAAAAGACATTGGTAGGACACATGCATCAGGGCAGGATGCGAAATCTACAAGCTTTTTATTTCATCTGAATTTAGGTGTTGTTTCTGAACAGCCACCACTTCAGCAGGTGGCATTCTAGCTTGTGGGCCATCATGCACTTGGAGGTCTCTCTGCCAAAATTTGCCCTTATTTTACATCACTACAAGTGTGGCCTGACTGGGAAGGCTCCCCGATGGCTGTGGAGGAACAGAAACAACATCCCAGAAGCTTAAAAGGCTGGATTCAGGCACTGAAGTTCCTTTGGTGCCACTAAAAATCCCATCCAAAGTCCCAGCACAGGCAGGTTATACAAGCTCACCTGCCCACACACAGGCACTGCTGTCCCTAGGACTTTTGCCCCACTCACAAAAGTAAGTCTATTTATAAAGCACCAGATTCCTGTTCCAGCTTCACCACCAGTGCTTGCAGCGTCAACAAGCCTCTGCAGCTGCAAGGCTGCCCCTTGCCACTCACCCCAACAGGATCCATCAGGACAAAATTCTGCCCACCCCAAAGCATCTCTCTTTGCTCCACTGCCTGTCTGCAGCTTTTGGGGCAGCAGCCACTCCTGTGAAGGTGCCAGGCTCCACATGGCCACAGCCGAGGTGCGAGCACAAGTTCTGCTTGCCTGATGGCTGGTAACCTGTAGCAGAGAGGCAGTGAACAGCTGGGTTGAGAAAGCTGCTGCTGCTTGCCAAGTCTACATGGTCACCATAAAAAAAATTGCTAGGCTTTTCATGGAGTAAGAGCTAAGCACGAGCTCCCACTTCAGCCCAGAGACAACTGCGCCTGCTTCTCTCTCTCAGGAGGAGAATTCCTCTTTGACTGGAGAACAGGCATAAGGGAAACAGCACATGGCAGCAATCATGGGAGAGTGGCAAACAGCCATCCTAACTGGTGGTCACAAAGCTGTCCAGCAGCTGCAGAGAGAGAGGAGGGGAGAAAATGAGCCAGAGGGAAGATGGAGTGGGGGAGGAGGGGAGGAAGCTTTAAAGACAGGAGATTAAGGGCAGCCTCTCAAATGAGTCAAAACTCACTGAGATGTGGTTACAATTTGTGGAGACATCCACAAATGAATAAAAAGGAATAAAACCTGGACAACTAGGAAGTTGAAGTCAATTGGGTTTATACATATTTAACAGGGACATTCATCTGAATAGAGGCCTGCCTGTAGCATGCTAGAAACAAGTCACACTGACTGGGAGGCTCACACAGAAAGCCTTGCTCCAGGCCAGCACACGATAGAATGGCAGGGGATTGTTTGCTGCGCTCAGGGAAAAAGCAGCCCTGATGCGAACAGAGGAGAAGATGAAGGAGCCAGTGAGGTACAGGGGAAAGGGTATCTCTCATGCTGATGAGATGCCAGGGAAAGGGCATGCTCTCTGGACCCTGACCCAGGAAGGACAGGACAGACCATGCTGTTTCACAGCTGAAACCTTCCTCCTGGCACACACTGTGGGGACAAGCAGGGCTGCTGCCTGTGGAGCCAGAGCAGCTGAGCTGCAGCCCAGGAGACAGCACAGCTGCTCAGGGTGGATAGCCCCAGGAAAAAGCTTTAGCTCTCCTTTTCTGGTCCACAGCTCCTGCTCTCAGTGCAGCAGCAGGGCTTTGACAAGAAACCCCAGAAATGTGTCGGGATCATGACTGACGTTAGGAGGATGAGGGACATCTCTCTAGCAATGTCTCTCTAGCAATGGCCTGCATCCAGGTATGAACTTCAGCTATATAAACCTCTTGCCACACATCCTGGTGGGCTCTTTAAGAACTGGATTAGTGGGAATTCAAGCCTAAGAGAACCACGCTGCATCAAACCAAATTACGTCTGCTCCACCTCTGCCTAAGCACTGCCTGAAGTAATGCTCTGGCATAGGGCTCTGCAACAGCATGTCCTGTATCAGAGTTGCTCCATGGGCAGCCCTCAGCAACCTTGGCATTTGATATGAACCCTGTTAGTATAAAAATGGAAAAGCCATACTGGGTACTACTGGCTTGAGAAGTGTCATCACAGAATTCCCCCCTGCCTGGTGTCCTCCATCAGCATCCCTATAAAACACAAAAACAATTCTTACCAAGGCAAGTTCCCTCTCTGTCCAGCACAGCCTGTCATAGGAGTTCTGCAACCTGGGCTACGTCCTCACTGACACCTTCTCAACCTCAGAACCCTCCAAGGGTTTGCACAAGCACAACTGGTTGAACTTTCTGGTGAGGCACAGGAACACAGGCACTCTCATCCCACAGGAATGGCTATGGCCCTGTTGACATGGAGGCTTGTAGGTGGTGTTTCCAGAGCAGATTTCCCTCTCTCCTCAATGCGGAGGCTCTCCCTTGGGGCAGAAGCAATGGCCTTAGTCCACCATGTCATCTGTGGCAAAAAAGCATCAGCCAGACAAGGAGAGGCTCTTATTTGACAGCTGGGAGGCAGGACATAGCTGAAGAAAAAAAGGGGAGCGCACCTAGAGCACATGACAGTAGTACGTGATATGTTCCAGAGATATGTGAAAATGACGGTTATGAAAGAGACAAGAGGGGAAGGGAGAGGGAAAAAAAAGGCCTTTTGGCCCACGTCCAGGGGGAAAGGTTCACTTCTGTCATCAAACTTAATGGTTCAGCCTAGGGAGAAATGCAAACGGCATCAGGTCCTCCCTTCCCAGAGAGGGAGAGCAGGGTCAAATGCAGCACCACCTTTCCTCTCCCTGTGCATGCCATCTGCCTCAGCCTGACCCGAGGCAGGAGGTTGTCCTGAGCTGCCATTGTAGCCGGATTCAAGGAGAACAGCAGTGGTCTGGTGATCACTGCATCATGTAGGGAATCAGAAGTACTTTTGCCTCAGGCAACACAGTAAGCTCAGTAGGAACCAGTTTTCATGCATCAGATATATAACATGGATGCCACACATCCCATTTGGCAACTCCCTCACGTATTGCAAGCTTCTGGACAAAAGGACTCCAAACTCTCTGGATCTGGCACAGCACTCGCTTGGGCTTGAATTTAGACTTGCATTCTTGGCCAGCAGCCCCAAGCGCTGGGAAGGAAGCATCCTTATTCCCCCTCTCCTCCCTCCTTTCCACTCCTGCCCCCAGACTGAAGGCATATCGGATCACTCTGTGAGAGAGGGAGTGCTCTTCTTCTGAAATAACACCCTCTGCACGGGCAGTTCTGCTGGTTCTGCTCTTCTCAATCCACCAGGAAAAAAATCTCTGCTGGAATCCTGTTCTGCTGGAATCAAAAGACAAAAGGCAGCTGATTTCGGCAGAATTTTCCTTAAGAATAAAATCAGGAAAACAAAGAGTTCCTGATGGTATGCATTGAAATATTTTAAAGAATGCTTGAAAGGCAACATAGCTGCTTTTTATTATTATAATTTCAAAGCTACTTTCATTTTAATTTTGAAACTCTTTGTATTGCATTAGATAAGCTGTAAAACTCAAAATCAAAGATTTCAGTAATTCCAAACAAAAATAAAAAACCTATTTGAAAGTTAAAACCCAGAATATTTATAAATTTGCCAAATCAAATTCTGAGAAGTAAAAATGCTCTACAAAACAAAACCTAAGTATCAATTTTCACCATCTGTATAAATATTAAACATTACTTGAATACAATTCTCAATCTGAGAAATCCCCTTGCGTAGATAAGCCTTTAGTACTAGGTAGGATGAGAAAAGTGCTGTAAAATGACGTAAAAAGCTGCTATGTAAGTATTGTAACTCCAGTAAGGGGCTCTACCAGTACAACATCTACATCTTTGAAAAAAATAGATATATTGTATCACCAATAAAAGTTTACAACTAAGGGAGAAGTTATCTGTACATCAGGATTTACAGGTTTAGGAATTATATAATCCTAAGTGACATTTCCAGCATTCGTCCTCTAGACCACATGACTTTTCAAAACAGTCAAATAACTTCAGCATCCTATTAACTGTGTCCTCATGTGCATGTATGCAGTGCCATTGGTCTTACAGGTGTAAATTAGGGCAGGATTTAGTCCATGATATCCATATACCAAAAGAACAATTGCAAATCCTTAAAGGAGAGGGGGAAAAAGGATTCAATAGCCTTAAAAAAAATTAGTGAGATTAGAGACAAAAGAAAAATAATTATGTCGACAAAAACAAAGCTATATGTTAACTTGACCCTAAATAAAATCTTAGATACTGGCTAGTAAGTTCTCTGTTGAAATCACTGAACCCAACACTAAAATAAAAGCCACTTTGGAGGGGGCAGCAGCTTTAAACCTACAGAAAGCAGCTTTACATACCAACCGCAGGCAGTGAGCAAAGATCACTGTGTTTAAGCAGAAACTGCAGGAAGTGTGTGGGTGGCAATAGCCATCCTCCACACTAGAGTTTAGTGGGTGACCATTCCTGTGGCTGGTCCAGGAGAATATCCATGCTGTGGTGAGATACACTGCCAAGATGCACCCGGCTTTCAAGGCTCAGCAGCTGACTTTTTTTGCCAGGAACCAAAACAAAATTAGAAGAGCCAGAAATGAAAGGTGAGATCTTGGACCAAGTACAATAAACTTTGGATCCTGTACAAAAGTCACAGAGATCAGATGTCACCCAGTGATTATGAGAAGATGGGGTAATACCAAAGAGAAGGAAGGCCAGCTATGTTAAGAGGAAGAAAACTCCTTCAATTATAGCCCAGATCTACAAGTCAGAAGATCTAGTTTACACTCTTGACAAAGCTGAAAACTTACTGTGACATCTTAAGCAAACTCGTTTGCTCCTCGATACAACAGGATAATAATTTACACAGTATGGAGCTTTCCATTAACTGAGGTGCATAGACTGCTTGCAGCTCCTAAGGTGAAAAGTGCTCTTACCTTAAAACACAGCAACAAAACCCTCCTATCATCCATCTGCAGAGCACAGTGGGAATGCTCCCAGTGGGGTACTACACACAGCCAGTTCCCACTGATGTAAAACATTTTAGTACTTGCTACTCAGTGCCATTTACAATAAGGTTCAAGCATACTGCTTCCTATCCCTTATAACCACCTCTACCACACCACATTCTTCATGAATGGAAACTATTCATACCATTATACTAGGAATAGCCAAGTAAACAGGAAAAAACCAGAAGATTTACTAGCAGGTGCTATGGGAGGGGAGAAGGCTATGGTGATCAGCAGCGTTGGCAGCTATGTAAATGGTACTAAGTGTGGCAATTTTGTTAACTACTTCACTGTCAAGAAAGTCAGAACCATGGGGATTCATATTTAGAGAAGGCTTTCCAACATACTGTTGGCTCTTATCTTAACCCAGCATTCTATGTGCTATTAATCACAGGCCATGACAGACATTGTATCAGCATCAGCAGCAAGCAGAGTAGCAGAATATTCTGCGTGGGAAAAAAAAAACAACCAAAAAACCACCAGTGTATACCATGAATAATGTCAGTTGTTCTACAGTTTCCAACTTCCAGTTAGGGTTATTTGGCTCTGAGCTGATGAAAGCACTTTCAGAATATCGGCTGGAAGGAGGACAGCATCCAGATGTATTTGACAGGAGTAAAAACCTATGTAAGCCCTACGTTTCTTGTCTAAAAGTCACCACCCCAAAATAGCTTGTGATCTAGTTATTTTTATTTAAAGAAGAGACTGTGCCTTGAGTTTGGATCAGAGTCCAGATTCCACTAGAGTTTCAGACTGTTATTAAGGTAGGATGCTCCATTTTGGCCCAGTTCAGAAACAGGATGACCAGTAAGCTAGGGATCTTGTTTAGAGCCAGGCTCAGACATTAGGGGTGGTCCATTTTTACAGGTTTGTCTCATACTGTAAGGGAGCAGTGTTACATGAAAGGGAGAGTTTGTTTCTTGATGAAAGGAGAATTTAAAAACTGTCCCCAGTTCCACATTTCAGAAAGGCTGCAGGTTGTTTCTTGGTTGCTAGGAAGATTCTGCATCTCAGCAGTCCTCAGAGAGTTACCATTTGATAAATAACAACGTTTCACTACCTGAAAATCATAGTGGTGGGTACTAACAGCCATTCATGTTAAAGCACAGTCAGCACACACACACATTTACCATGAGGCCACACACAGTATTATAGCTTGGTTTTTTTACCTGTGCCTACATCAAGGATTTTTTTGACAGTTCTGTGTTTGGGGATGTCAAAACCCTGTAGGAGCTACAGGATCTCTTAAAAACCACCTGCACCTTTTCTTCATCCTTCCTCCCATTTCCAAATGATCCTTTGAGCACAGGAGTCTTCTTCATTGCCCCAACTGAATAATCTTAAAGATTTTATTATAACTTGCCAGTTCAGCTTTAACCACAGTGGTAGTAACATAATAATTAACACCAATTTCTTGTAAAGACTGTTGGGAAATTTGGACAATAGTGATCCCAAAGTTACCTGAGCTTCTACCACACTGTGTACCCATCCTGGAGCTCTTGTTTACATAGGAAGCTGACACAGTTCCAAATATTCCATTTTAGTTGCTCATGTAACAAACAGTTCTTCACATATATTTTATTCACATGCTTGGCACATGAAACAGCTGTAATATAGTCTACTCCAGTAGATGCATCCAGTCCCAGACCCATCTTCAGACCTCTAGGAGGCAATGCAGGAACTGTTTGGGCCTGTGGGCACATTCTGTGGGAAAGGATTCAGCCGCCTTCTCTCTTCTCTCACCTCTCCTCTCACTCAGGGCAAGCCAGTGCTAGTAAACAGCTCTCTCTTAAAGGTAAGGAGTGTCGGTGGGTTAACAAACACCACCTTTTTTCAGGACTTAAAACTATCTGAGAGGCTTCACCTGACAGATTAGGAAGACCTTGGACCACCTTTTCTAATAGCAGAGTAAGGGGTACAAGCGCCATCAGCAGAGGATTGGTAGCAAGCATCTGGAATGGCTGTAAAATTTCCAACCAGCTCAGCTGTTTGAAAATAAATGTCTGTCCACAGCCTTATGGAACTGAGCTGGTACCTCTTCAGACATCCCTTACATAAATCTCTTGTACACTCAAGAGATTTATGATAAACACTTGCTCTTTCCTTAACCTTCAAAACCTTTTCCACCTGCTGAATAACACCAGATTCTTTCCTCTCACCCAGCCTGTTCACTATCTATAAAAAGCCTCTAGAGAAGATTCAGTGGCACCATGGACTGGCTTGTCAGCAGTACACATATGACACCCATCTCTCCATCATCTTCACCTCCCATGCAAATGACACCATTACCCAGCTCTTCAAGGGCTTGGCTAAGATCAGCAAATGAATGAAGTTGGCAGAAGGTAAATTGTTGTAAGAGCCTGGGCTGATGAAGATATAGGGAAATATTTTACACTTTGATAATGTCCATTGCTGGCATTAAAGACTAATTAAAGATTTAATGATCATCTGCACTCTATCATCCCAAAAACCCCAATAATTGTTGCTGTAAAAGCCTCAATCCTTCAGCACTATTTCCAGTCTGATAACCTGAAAGATTGGACTTGGCCCTAATGCTTGATTTCTATAACCTAGTGGGTTTAGGAATGACAACCCATACAAGAATGCATCAGGCCATTTATTCAGCAGCACAAGACCACCAAACAAGCTTAAGCTCTGTTCTTTGCTCTGCTAACTACTCAGTCCCAGCTTAAATTCAAGGCTTTGCCCTTATTTTTAAAGCCTTTATGACCTTAGCAAAAATTGATTTAAGGGCATCCACATTTCTGAGATATGACACTGTTGAAACCTGACAGTTAAGTTGCTCTGTAACAAAATAAATAGTTACTTTGCAGGGTGTGTGCACCAGGGATAGAGATTCCCTACTGTCTAGTACACAACTATGGCCTCCTGATCACCTGCAGGAGACAACCATACATCTTGAAAGTGCAGAAAAGAGAAGCTCCAGCTTTTCCACCCCCTCCTTCCCATCTTTATTCCAAAACCATCAGCATGAATGAGTAGTCCATGACTGACAGACAGGATGAAGTCTGATTTCCAAGGGCACGCTCCAGTGGGAGCTCTCTGGTGCCTGATAAAAGGTGAGCTGAGCTGGTAGCATGTTGATGCTTCTAGCACAAACAGGCTCTCTCATGTACCCATCTGCCTCTCTCTTTCAACCTCACAGGAACTTCACTTTCAGATCTGTATTCTTTTGCCAACAGGCTCAAACACTTGGGGAGGTGGGGAGGGAGGGTACATGGAATCACATACACAGACAGACATATACACACAGCATGAATTCAGAGGCATTGTTTTACTAGGAAAGAGTTATTGGCAAAAGTGCCCTATGTAAAAAATAGGAGAGGAAATGAGAGAGAGGAATGTCAAAGATGCCTTGTGTTCATTTTCATGAGCTCATAAAGTAATTGGAGGCAGACAGATAAAGGTATACAAGAACATCTGAGGAGTCATTGCTTTCCAACACACCAGTAACAGCCAGGGACTCAGAACCTGGAGAGAATCAGACAAACATTTTTAAATGACAGATGAGTCACTAATGATAATCAGATCTAAAAGAAATTTATTTCCTCCTAAAACAAACCCAAAAGCTGTTTTTCAATTATGTGAGATCAAGACAAAAAGTCTAGAAGATATCATTGAAATACACCTGAATCTATGTCCCTAACTCACTGCTACATAGGGAGGGGACCTTAAGATTACATTTCCATGTCACTTTTTCATTTCCTGACCACTGCTAGGTTGCAATACATCTAACTACATTTAAATTGCCTGCCAAGCAAAGTAAAACAGAGGTACCTCAATAGGGGAACCAACCAGACATGTATCTATAAAATATTCAGTATAAATGCTCTGACAATGCAGAATTCTCATGAGGCATCTAGCATTCCATCCATCCCCCTGGATTTGCTGGTTTTGCCTGGAATGAAAAACGTGCATGTATGAGCAGGGATGTCTGTTCAGAGACACTAAAACAGGTTTATAATACACCATGCTCTTTTCTTCAGCACAAAAATAAGCCCTAAAGAATGCATGTCAGGTAATTTTTTCTGAGAAAAACCGGCAATAACTCTGAGCATTTCAAATGCCAGTCAGACAGCTTTTCAAATGGTTAAAAGGTGCGTGAAGGTTGAAAAGCTCAGAAGTCTTGCCAAGGTTGATAAGACTTTGCAGAATTTGTTAAACTAAAGTTTCCATTAAATTTTCACCACAACAACCATGTAACTTGACATCTGCCTAAATTTGTGCAGACCTTTGTGATAATCTGACAACAAGTAAATAATCAAGCAGATCATCAGAAGAGAAACTTAGAATCACTGAAGAGGCCAACTCAAAGACTATGCCTTGATGAGGTTGTATCTTGTCAGGCTTTTCCAGCTCTTGATTCCAGCAGCAACACTTGGGTTGGCAAGTAATTTTTCAATTACAACTGAGAAGAGAAGCAAAAATTAGAAACAAAAATTATGCTGATTTAATTATTTCATAAGGCAGCTAGCATCATCATAAAAGTGCCCAAATTTTACTGCAAACCAACCTCCTCCTCATTCTCTCCCAAAACGCTTATCTTCTTGTCTTTAACTGACAATTCAGAAAACAGTCAGAGTGCTGCTTCTTTCTGCCTTGTATCCTCTGCCTCGCTTGCACATGTGCTTATCCAGTAACAGCCATCACTAGTGAAATGGGATTACGTTCCACTGGTTAAGCGCATGAGCACAGCCCTGGGTGGGGCTGTTGGAGGATCAGCTCTTAATAAGGTGTCCAATTTATAATCTAGCAGCGTGAAGAGCAACTGGCTCTCAAGAATGAATAGCTCCTCTGTGTTACCATCTCCTGAGGCTGGCTGCCGAGCCAGACCGCCTCATCCTTTCTTCTCTCTCTCTTTCAGATGTTGTTACTCTTCTCACTAATTTTTTGGTGTTTCCCAGACTGGAGATATAACTAGAAAGGAAGACAAGAAGTATCCACCCGTGTCTGGTCACACACAGTTTGAACAAACCCTCTGCTAGCTAAATAGGATGCAAACCCTTCGTATTTACTTATTCCAAGAAGGTTGCGTCTCAGCCTAGGATCCTGCTCTCGGAGACAACCTTTGTGCCAAGAGATGCCTTTAAAAGGGATGTTCTGTGCAACAGCCCCCGATCCGCGGGACTCCAGGCACCGCACGCAGCGTGCAGCCGAGGGGAGCAGAGAGGCGCGATGCCCGGGCTGATGCCCTCCCTGCTTTTGCCCCAAACCTCTCCGCTGAAGCGGTGCCTGGCGAGGCGGGGCGTGCGCAGGCGGCGGGCGCGGCCCCGCCCCCGCGGCGGCGCGCACGGCGCAGCGCCCTCTGGCGGCGCGCAGGGGCCGCGCGGGGCAGCACCTGCCGCGCCGGGCCGCGGGGACCGCCGAGGCTGCGCCCGTGATTACCCTGAGCCGGGTTTTAACGTAGCGTCTTTCGCTTACCGTGCAGGTCGGGAGAGGCCCGTCCTTCTGCTGTAAAAAGACCCCGCAGGGAGGCCGTTGGCACACCGGTTCTGCAAAGGCTGGCGGTGGCACAGCCGAGCATCTCCCTCCCTCTCGTCTCCAAAGCGGTTCTCTGGCTAAGGATCCACCCTGCCACACGAGGCTTGTCATAGAGCCTCCCATACCTCCAGGAGACACAGTTAATGTATTTCCTTTCCATGGCGATGATCTAATCCAACCTCTCACAAAGCACACATCTGCAGCATGCTGTGTTCACAGGAAGGACTTCTCAGGAACAACTGCTCCTTGGTACCTACTGACCTCCTTTTATTCTGTCTCTGTGCTGGCACTGCATGGTGTAGAATGACTCTTTCCTGCCTGCAGCACTTAAACAAAAAAACCCTTCAAATACTTTCTGAAAGTACCACCTGAAAACTTTCCATCATTCCGTGCTTTCCCTCTTGCCAAAGTGAAGTGAAAGGTGATACGACCAGCCAGTCAATCAATCTCTGTCAGGGGCATCTGGCTCCCGTAGGCTTTTTTATAGTAGCAGTCTGTTTCTAGGACCATTGGTTCTTCTGCAGCAGGATGCTGTTTTCCGGATCTGATTTAAGCTGAACTCCAAAAGACCACAGAGAAAGAAGAAGCAGGGAGTGTGCACTCAACTTCCTGGAAAGACACCCAAGCTGTTCTTATAGCCTTCTGCAACCTCACTCCATCCTCCCCAGCTTTCCAGCAATTGCCAGCACTACGGACTCAGAGGGCATGGGACGCAGCCTGCAGCTGGCCCGGGGAGCCTGCCTGGTTTGAGCAGTGTTTTCAATTAATAGCCTGCTCAGCAGCCACACTATGGTCTGTGAGAAATGCTAAGTGTTACTAGCAGTTTCTTGGTCCAAAATGTTTGGGAGAGCCACTGTTCTGTCCTCAACCTCACAGGGTCTTTGCATCTGGGAGGGATGCCTGGGATGGAGAACACAAAAGGACAAGCTGGACTGGAGTACCCATTATGCCATTGAAAAAAATGAAAATAAGATGTCAACAACTTCTATGGGCCTAATTGTTTCTTCTCAAACAGATTGTTAGCTTATGTGAATCAGGGTAGCTCTACTGAGTAAACCAAAGAATGGAAGAGGGAGGGGGGATAGCCTTGGTATCAGAAAGGCACAATATGGGTCTTTACCCACATTGATTGCTGGCTACTGAGTAACATTAACTTATTGCCACAATCCTTCCCACCACCAACAGATAGTGGCACTAAGAGAGATGAAGAGGCACAGAGTGGCAAATAGTGAGACTGCACAGTTTCTGCAAACACCACCATGCAAGGCCACCTGAAGGGCTGGACCTTCACTCCCTCTCTCTGCAACTCCTGCTCTTGCCCTGCTGCTCAGCTCTACCATTAAACCCAAACACAGAAAACTTAGCTGATTAAAAACCAGAAATGGTTATTTTCTGAGCCAGATTGCTTCCCTGATCTGTTCCACCCTACAGTCACATACACTCTGGACCAGGTGTAAAGAAATACAGTACAAGTGGTTCTTTCAGCATCAGTGCCAGCTTGAAGAGTTCATCAAACTCCAGTCTGGTGAAACACTGGGAAATCCCACAGAAAGCAAAAGAGAGGAAGCTGTACTTTAATTTGTGCAAAACACAGGCTAAGATCAGGCAGTGAGTGAGTGATGCAAATGCGCCTAGTCAGATTTCTCCACTGGACCTTCAAGAGAAAAAGAGGTAAAACATCAAGCACAAAGGGCATCCTGACTTCTCCAAACACAAAATCAGGACAAGCTAAATCCTGTCCAATTGCACAACATTAAAGAGTGATTCTGTGCTCTTACCTTCTGCTAAGGGAACAGCAATGTTCTGACCTGCAGTGATTTGTGTGTAGGAAATTAATGCCATAAACAAGTGAGAGGAACCAAAATCTCATGCCCTAATCCTTCAAAGCAAAACCAAATTCTTTATGGGCAGCACGACTGCTGATGAAGGAGGTAATGTTTATCCTTATTTGAATCCAATAAAAACATCCAAACAAGAGAAACAATGCTCAAAGAGCTCTTCTCCATTACATGTGCAAATAATGTTTTAAAAAAAATAATAATTACTTCACATGCTTTACAAATACTAATTAATTTAGCCTGATGTCTCCCCAGCTGGACAGGTGTTACTACCTCCAGTGAACATATGAGCAAGCTGAGTAAAACAGATTTGGCCCTGTTTTTTTAAGTAGCATCTAATTTTCAGTGCAATTCTGTGTACAGGCAGCTTCTGTTAATTTTGGCTAGAGCTGTAAGTGATTAATACATGTGCAAGACAGATTCTGGGTATCTCAAGCTACAGGGCTAAAATTAAAGCCCGTGCTTGAAAATGTGATCTTAAAGGACTTGCCCTTGGCTGGGCAAGAGAAGGAATCTGTTGCAGGATCAGGAAAATAAGCCAAGTTTTCAGATTCCTTGGGGCTTGTCTCCACAAGAAATGTAGGGAAGCAACGCAAAATTGCAGCATGCCAGAAACATTCTCCTCAGGTGGACCCTTCAGTCTTCACTGCTTTCAAAGAGCAAATTTTAACACCACCATAAATTCATCCTTTCCTCCCCAAACACAGAGAGACTCACTTCTCACATAGTGCTGAATACTGTAGCTTGTTGCCACTTTCTAAACTGAAAGGTGATGGTGACAAGAGAAGGATGTGATGACTCCAGAGTAGCAATAAGAAAGCCAAGGGTAAAGTTTCACTTTGATTTCAGCAGAAAGCTTCCCCATAAAGATGTTTTGGTTCGCAATCAGTGATGAAGTACTTACCTGCATTTCAAAGAGGAGTGAGCTTCCTTCCACTTAGCATACTCAAGATCATGTCTACTGATTTTAAGAAGAGACATGGACAATCTGAATAGTTGCCCCCATTAGTTGGAGCATGATGCCAGCCCAAAGGAGGAGCTGTGTGGTTTCATGCTAGAAATAAGCAGCATTTCTCTCTGCAATAAACCCTGTAGAGATAATCTAACAATGTCTACAAAGGAGATTGGGCTACAGATACACATCCTCCCAAACTGAGATGCTGGTGGAAAAGTCTATTGTCTCAGCCTGTGGTTAAAATCTCTTCAGGTCTGTTTTGCTCAACTGTGTTTGAATGTTTCTCACACATTTTCAGTCTGAATGAGGTAGGTTAGAGGCGACTTCAGTATTATAAGCTACCACCCAATGCAAGACAGGAAGGGCTCAACCCACAGGTTACTCCCTGGATCTGAAGCAGCAGGAACCTCCGATACCAGGGAAGAGCTGGAGACAGAAACTTCTGCCACAGCTTACGTGAACATCTATGGCCTAAGTGAAGGGTGATGGTGTCTACAAGTTCATACTTTGGCTTGTCACATGCCAGCTTTTCATGGAAATGAGGCTGGTGCTAATGCATTAAGTCGTGGCTAACATTTAAAATGGTGTGGGCATAGCATTGCCATTATTTAAATTCTCAAATTGGTCTGATGTAGTTTAACTGGCAAAAATTACTTTAGGCTAGGTCTGCCAAAACTGGTGGGTTCAAAGGAAGTGCTGCAGAGGGTAGCCTGCTGTGAGGATGGTAGCCAGCCACAGAGCAACCAGCCAGTAGGTGCATGCACCACAGCAGCAGGCCTAAGGTCACTTTATGGTCTTGGTGGACTTGAGAAGAGTAGGAACACCACGATAGATGTAATACTGGTTTTGCCACTTCAGGTTACAGATATACAACTGTTTGGACTGAAGCAGAGCCCTTTGGTGTAGCTCCCCCTCATCCCTCACACACACACACACAGACTTACACCTGCTGTCCCATGACACCAAGCCAAGTGTTTGTGTAGCTAAGATCTAAAGATTTTTTTTTAAGGATCTTTGGGCTAAAAAAACCCCACCGCGCACTCTCCCTGAAAAGCATATATTTTCTTTTGAGAGGATCATTTCACAGAACTGGTTTAAAGGGCAGCTAGACAAACAGCTGTATCAGCACAGCAGTAACTTGGGGCAGCAGAGAAGGAGCCAACCAGAGCAGCCACCTCACTCAGTTGAAAACTAGAGCAGGATGTCTGACTGTGGCCCAGCTCTCCCAATACTTTCCAAAGTGTATGTTTTGGTTAGAATTGGGTTTGTGGTGTTCTTGATTTTTTTCCTTGTTTCCTAAGGAAATTAAGTTTATGCAATTGCTCTGTCCCTCAGTTTTCCTGTAATCTGTTTCAATTCTGCTGTGCACTCTCAGTCAAATATGAAAGAGTTCGAAACTACCAGGACTGTCTAGGTAGAAGCCCAAACTTGTGTCCTCTGCAAGCAGAAAAGCAGGCAGAACTCAGCTGCTAGCCAGTGCTGATGGTTAGCTGACACACAGCTCTGGCCTATGGCTTCAGAGGGGCAGAGAGGGAGCTGAAGTGGTGAACTTGATGTTCATCATGCAAGGCCAGGCTTTGTCACTGTGATTGCTCGTGCACAGACTGCCTAAATCCAGACTTTGAAACTTATGGCATGCAGACTTCAGTGTGCACTTGTGCTTTAAAATATAGCGTCCTGTCAGAAGTTCCTACTATAAGTCATTAAAATGTAGTTAGTACTTTTAAATCCATTCAGTGATTTCTGTATCAGGCTATTGTAAGATTAATTGTCTTAACTACACAAGTAGTACAGATATTCTTAGTGAAAGAGGTGATACTTGCTTCTGTGCAGGGGCTCAGTTGTACCACTTGTGCAATATGATGCCTGATACTGTATTTATATTGCTAAAATGCATTTTCTGAGGGGAAACTCAACACAGAGATGAATTGCATCTAACATGAGAGGAAAAAAAAGAACTTGTCATCCAGATAGGTTATTTGCTGATCTATAAATCCGAGAGAACAACAACGCATACCGTATTCCCGCCTGTTCCCACACACTCCTTGTCATCGCAAGAGGTCTTTAGTACCCTGAAATATAGCTTGACAATAAAAATTAATTGAAAGTGCGCTAGAATCATTAACTTTCAGAGCTTCATAGTTTGCCCATCCTTAAATAATGCTGCTTATAAAATCCTGTTTGTGCTACAATTTCTTGGCTCTCTGCCATGTAGCATGTACAGAAATCAGCAATATGTGCAGCAGGGACTTAGCTGGACGTAATACGAATGCAAATAATAGACTTTCTTCTTCAGCTCAGCAGCAAAACATTGACTCAGATCTTGAGACCAGTTATAGTCCCAGTGGTGTTTACTCTGTGTAATTAGCAGTATCAAGTGTGTTGTCTTTTGGGTAGCCTGATTGTTTCCATATGGACGTGTACCTTCTGTGAACACAGACAGGGCAAGAGGCAGACAGCATTCAGAGTGCATGCATTACAGGAAGCACATATGTTTTAAATACATTATCTCTACAATTAAGAAGAGTTTAGAAACTGGTCATATAAATCTTAGAAAATGCAGCCAGCAGAGAAAGAAAAAGACCTTCTTTCCAAGCAAGAATTTTGCCTGGGTAACTACTTGTACCCAGGTCCCCAAGATGGTGCAGACATCTCCCTGCTTGCTGGTGGGAGAGCAGCATGAATCAGTAACTCACGAATTGCTCCAGGAGGGAGAAGGCTGTTGACGCTGTGCTGGGGCCTGGAGGAAGATCGGGCTGGCATTCGAGGTGGGGCGTGCCTGGGAATGCTGCACAACATTCATCTTAGGAGCAGGTACTTGCTGAAATTCCAACTACTGAGAGAGATGGCTGAAGCAGAGTGACGCCTTGCCTTTGCCTCGCAAAGAGGTGCAGTTTTTTTACCTTAGGCTAATGTTTCTGACCTGCCCCACGGTAAAAACGCTCTGAAACCAAGCAACTTCAGCCTCACTGCAAGGCAAACCAGGCAAGGGCAACTCCAAAGGTGGGGGCCACTGCTGGACTCGCCTACTTTACCACATCATCAGCAGTTACTACAGGGTTGAAAAATAAAAAACATTAAAAAAATCCTTGAGAGCAGAAAAGAAAGGCCCTAATGTCTGTTTTGAAATAAAGAGTACAGAAAGGGTTTGTTTGGGGTTATTTATCTCTTGTTCTCCCGCTCCCTTCCACGCCCCCAACATTGCCACAATCTGGCAGGCTCTCTCACCCCCAACCCTCAAGCCTTTGCTCTGTGGCTGGCAGCATGGCTGGAGGCTGCAGGGAAGTGGGGAGAAACAAGGAGAGCCATTTCCACTGCGGCTTGGCTCTTCCTGCTCCCCTCTGTCCTTGGGATCCTCCACACACCTCTCATAACAGCAGGGCCCCTCTTCACCTCACCCTTCATGACACTGCACCTTCAGGCACACCTTGCTGATTGGGAAAGGCTCTCCCTGGATATTACCTCGCACACCTATTTTTATGGCTGCAGTAGATGCCTGAATACATGTCATCATAACTAACTGTCTTGGGCTCCTCTCTGGCTCCTGCCCTCAGTGCACTTCCTTGTGCCATCCCAGCATCCCAGGACAGCCTCCTCATCACGCTTTTCTCACCTCCCAAAACCTCCTACATATGCGCCTGTTTGATCACTTTGCTAACAATATTTCAGTATCTGTTTTGTAGCAAACCACTCTTTGTCCATAACTTAAGCTCACCAAAGGAGACTGCCTGACCAGGGTATTACAACTTCTTTGTTGTCCTCTTTGCTACTGCAGATATGGTAAAGATTTAACCTTAAAACTTGCCTTGCAGTAGAGAAAACACATCCTTGCAAAGCACCTTTAAATTTGAGCAACTGCAGCTAGGGCTGTACGAACTTGCATCACATAATTTCACCTCCCTTTCTCTTCTTCCTCTAGGAATTATCACAAAAAGCTCCCCAAACAAGCTCTTTAATTCATAGATCTTCACTTTAAAGTACTGCAAAGCAATATTTTATGCAAAAAATCCACACAATACATTCTTCTCTACATGTCTTCTTGAAAATATCTTGCAGTTTGTGATTTGGATAGAATTCTGCAAGCCTAGTAAGAAATAAAAAGCTTTTACAGAAAAAGGCATATGTTGTTCATGGGCATTCATTCATTAAACAGCCTAGCGGTTTGTTTCAATTGTGTCTTCTGACATTAGGATTGAGGATGCCACTACTTTAATAATAATCTATCAAACAGTATTGCAAATAGTCACTGCTCTTCAATTTCTTGAAAAGCTCTGAAGAGGTGAAAAATGCCTTTGCAGCACAGCTTCTGTTTTATCTCCACCACAAGATTTGGTTATCTCAGTGAAAAATATTGCACTCGAAATTAGTTTAGTAGTTTTTACACTTTGTAGTTTTGACACTGTTGTCATTCTGCATTTACTATTTTCTCAGTGGTTTCTGACTTTTTTTTTCTAATTTTTCTTTTCTCGTTTCCACTTAAATGTCTGCCATGGACAAACGCACTTCACAGCATGCGGTTGCTGTCATGGTCACAACAGATGCAGGGAAGCCCAGTGTAATCACTCAACCTAAAAAACATTATTGGCAGTGAAATAATCTGCGTGCAGTCTCATATCCTCACAAACCCTGCTGCAGGTATGTAACTCTTCCCTAGTGCATGGCAACCTGAGGAAAGTTTAAAGATGCTTGAGGTACTGCTACCAACTTAGTACTGAAGCATACAGGACAGTGCATGCTGTTTTAAAGCTTACATAAATACTAAATATGTTTTATGGCCCTTTTATGTGTAAAACGTTAGGTTAGTTGAGAAGTACAAATGATTAGTTCAAATTTAATAATTAAAAATACAACCACCTAGACCTTTGCTACATGCACATTTACATACAGAGAGAGAGTATCTAGAAAACCACCGTTTCCGCTGTGATGACAATAATATACTGCTTATGTGTCATGTTATTTTGAGTCATTATTAATCTATTACTCAACTAGTTTAGTAAATGTGGTACAATATCTCGGGTGACATTGAAGATTCAGGCCACGGACTCCGCAGATGTAAACATATGTGTAACGTGCTGAAATGCTTACAGGAACGGAGCAGAAATATGTATCAAGTCCAAACTTGAAAACAGGTGGTTTTAAGTTATACAAGGACAAAGAACAGCAAACAGTTTTTTAAGCAGGCAGTTTTTGAGTTCAGAAATTAAACAGCTTTTTTTATTCCCTTTTCCACCACTCAAAAAATGTGGGACAAGAGCACTTCCTTGGCATGAACCAGGGAGCCCTTGCAGGGTGGGCTTTGCAGCAAGGCTGGAGCAGGTCATAGCTGGTATTTTGCAATAACAGAACTGAAAAAAAAATTAAAAAAAAAAAAAGGCTTCAGTTAACATCTCTTGTGGCAACCATGGTGGGCTGGTGCATGTCCTAGCAGCAGGGCTCCCCTGTGTCCCGGGGAGGTGTTTCCCCTGCTCGTTCCCTCGGGCCCAACACATCTGCCTCCTCAGGGAGCTGCCCCCTTCCAGGTCCTGCTGAGGAGGGAACTCTCAAACCTGCCACCTGCTCAGGGACCGGGGAGTGCTGTGGGCCACCCTACTCTCTCCTTGCCTCAGGCACGGCCCTGTTCTCTGAAGGGAGCCAGGTAAGGCGGAGATCGGGAGCTGGGGGTGGCAGCCCCCCTCTTGGACCTTGTGAGTCCCAGCCACACCTCCAAATGCTGGTACCCCCAGGGTAGCACCTGTCCCCGGATTGTCTACACCCCCTTCCCAAGCATCAGGGGCCTCCCACGGCCCGGAGAGGCCTCGGTTGCCCGTCGGCACAAGGCTGGGGATAAGTGGGCAGCCCCGGTGTCGAGGCGAGGTGTGGCGCGGCGGTGAATGTCTGCCCCCAGAGTGGGGCGAAAGGCTTCTCGGCTGCCCTCGGGGGAAGGGAGTGTCCCTCGCAGGGGAACAGATGGAGCGCCCTCCTCTTACTCACCGACCTGCCCGCCACGTCGGGAGGAGGTTTTGCAAGTATCTGGGGAAAGGGACGGGCCCCGGGAGCGTGAGAGTGGGAAAGGAATGGTGGGGTTCCATAAAGGAGGGTGGGCGAGAAAGGGAGCGGGACAGTCAGGTGTGCGCGCCCAGGCTAATCCGGAGGCAAGGGGATGGCGGAAGGGGCGCTGGGAAAGGAAACTAAACACAGCCCAAATGTAGCTGTCCGGCTTGGAAGCACAGGGAAGGGGGACAGCCTCACGCTACAGCTGGTGTGGGTGCATGCATCGATGCGGGTGCGTGAAAGATCTGGACAAGGAGCACCATAGATGCACAGGCGAGAGGGAAGACCTCCTTTCCAGGAGGTCTGCAGTTCCCCCTTCCCGTTCCTCGCGTGCTGCTGGGGAAACCTGCGCTTTTGCTGCTTGCTAGGAGACAGCACACAGCTCGGTGGGTGCGGGTGTGTGAGGCTTGCTAAATGGAGGCTCTTGCTGGCCTGCTCGTTGCTGCTGGGCTCGGGGAGGGAGGAGGAGAGGGAGGAGGAGGAGGGAGGGATGTGAAAGTGGGTCAGGAATGTAACTAGACTCTGCCCCCCTTGTTGCAGGCGCAGGCGGCGCTGCCTTAGCGATGGAAAGCAGGCATTTCACTGTTGATGTTCCCCAGTCCTGCCGGCTGACGGTTACTAGGGGATCCTGAAGGATGTGTTTTCCTGTGACCCTTTGAGAAGAAAAACTTAGTTGCCTCAGTAACCAAGTTTGGCTTGGATGCAATGATGCAGTAAATAGCATAGGTGAGCCTTGCTAAATGGAGGAGGAGGAAGCTGAAACTTTATAGGCTGGATAACTTGCAGTCAGGTCCGGAAACATTTTAAAAACGTCCCAACAAAATGTATTAGTTAAGTACACGACTTTTACATTTCCTCATGCAATAAAACTCTCAGAATTTATCCCCTATGTATTGTAAACTAATAAGAAAACAGAGATAGAAATAAACTGCCTTAGTGATGTAGCATGAGGTACAGAGCTCATCCACAACTCTGCAGTAGCCCTGTACAGCCCTTTTCAATGCAAATAATTTTTGTTTGGTGGCCTGAATTTTAGAAAGTTAAGGAGTGTGAAAGAAGGTGAACACTGACTCAAAAACTAAAGTTTGCATCCATCTTCTTTTCAGCATTGTTACTGTAGGCTAACAATTTTCAATATTGTTACTTAGATTAAAAGAGAGAACTCATCAACCCTGCTTCTATAGGATATCTGTAAACTAAATACTTTCAAAGTGGAAAGCAAACTAAAATAACAAGCAAAAACTTTTAACTTGAGGCCCAGTTATGCATTATTTCTGCCTATTCCCTTCAGTTGTTATCATCTGATTTCTATCATCCTCTAATAGAAAAATAGGCTTTTATTCATGAAGGTGGGGAATCACTTCTCAGAGTTAGAATGAAGAACTGAAAAGAAACACTGAAGACAGATGCTGTGATACATCCATTTCTTTTTTAGTTTTCTTCCAGAGTTGTGTCTTTTCTAAAACACTGGTATTCTGAAGAAAAAATGGGCTGCTGTACACAAGACTGATTCTGTTCCCAGCCTGAGGATCAACAGAGAACTGAGCTGTCAAGCTTACAGATGCATCAGGAGTGAGGGGACAGCGAGTGTGTCAGTGCAGGCCACGCAGCAGATAGGTATGCATCCAGTCGATGGATGAGGCTATGTGTGTACATTTCATTAAGGGAACAAAAGTAACTGGAGCAAACTGTGCAGCTAATGCTTTTACTCCTTTGAATTATTGTCAAGGAGGTATTGGTATAAATAAACATCCCTTCAGCTTATTTCACCTCTGAAAGCTACTCACTGTTTTAATTAAAGGACATTCAAGGATGAATAATGAATGTTACTATTTCTACATTTTCCGTGAAATAATATGTCAAGCTGATTTCCCATATCATCTTCTACTAAAAGCTAAATGTAATAATAAAAGATACATGAATGTAAGCAAATTGTGGTGAAATATAGCTAATATATTGTACCGTTACTCTTGTTTTAAGAAAAAAAAAAGTAGAAACCAATACTGATTTAAGTGCTATGAACCAAACAAAACTTTTCTTAAACAGAACTCAGTGGAGGGCCTAGGTGATACCTTATAGATGAATGTAGCCCATTGCCTCCAGTCATGGAAAATATTCACACAGTCTTCATCCACAGTTTTAAGATCTGCTTCGGTATGTCATGCTTATTTTTTTGTGGAACAACATTACTTGGTTTTGTCAACTTTCTTGGCCATGCTGAACAGTTAGTGGACAGTCTTTCACGCCACCTGCTTGCACAGGCCTATGCCGCTAAGCAGTCTTGCAGATCTGGACAGGGGGATCCCACAGGTCTCTCACATTATCAGTGAAAATGCCAGGTTAGAAAGCTTCCTCACTGGGGACTGCCACAGACAATTTTGATGGTCCCACCTATTACCTGCATATTTTCCTGTGTGTTCAGGCAACCCAGTGGGCTGGGAAAACTAAACATTACGGAGAAGAACAATTTGTGTTAGCAACCATACCTGCACTTACTGGCAGGGAGGTTTTGTTGTTACTCTGGGGCCCTTTTTATGCTCCTCTGGACAAGCAAAGGGCATGCTAAGCCTTATGGAAACAGTCACGAGAAAATCCTCCTGTGCTCAGTGTAGGAGCATGGTGTTTCCTATCTATTCCCTCCACCCCTTTCTGTGGGGATGATGTGAGGAAGGAGGTGTGGCCAGAAAGTTGCTGCTTTCTAGTTTTTTTTGGCTCTGTCAAAGGCCTTTGTATTCAAGGGTAAACGGCAGGGACCTTGACGCTGCTCTAAATTTGTATGGATGTCTTAGAGGTCCCCAGAAGGACCAGATAACATGACAAAGCATGAAGCACAGCTTAGGTATAACAGCGAATTTGACCTTCAACCTGTGGTTGCTTTGAACAGGAGTTGATAATGGCATCTCAGACCAGACCTTTACTGCCAACCTTTGGGCATGGGCTTAGTCTGCAGTGAGAGGCTAGTTAATGCACAAGTATGGAAAAAGAAACATGGGAAAGCTCCAGGTTTTATACCTGAGTCCCTCTACAAAAGTATTTTTGCTTTGTTTTTGCTTTAACTTGTACACTGGAAAATTAGGAGGGGAAAAAACCCACTGTTTAAATAGGCTTTTTCTAGCTGCGTTGAGTCCCCTGGTTATTAGAGAGAAAAAAGATGCATTAATTTTTACCAAATTATGTTAGCAGGCTGGTGTACATGGTTTAGTAAAATACTTACTTTCTGAGTAATTGTAGCATGTTTTGGCTTTTAAAACCATCATTTCCAAAACAGATACTAATAAATTTTAAAAATATATTAGCTCATCTTGTCTCCACCTAGCAGAGAAATTATTTTGCATCCTACTAAAGTGGCTGTCTGGCTTCAGGGGGAGGATAGATTGGACCCTTAAGATAGACTTAAAGATTTAGCCACATGCTATTTTTGAGCTTTATTTTCTTGGTTACTATCTTGTTCTTACCAGACTGAATTGCTGGAACTTCTCTGTAAACAGGATGAAACAATAGCAGCAAAGGTAGGATGCCATACCAAGCTGAATAAGGACCTCAAAACCCATTACCATTTTAATGATGGCATTGTTAAGCAAAGTAGCCTCAAGATTAAATCCTTTTCTTCATTTAGAAAAACTAGCTATTTATCGAGTGTTTTACTTTTAGCAACCAAAATACAGTAGTGTTTGGCTTTCTTTTGAAACTCATGTAGTTTCAAAGCTGTTTGCAGCTGAAGATTGTCAGCCACACACTGTACTTACTAAACAGGTTTAAAAGCAGACACGGTTAACAGGATGTGACATAGACTCTCTTCAGCACAGTATCTGACACATCCGTGTACTTTTCTAATAACTTTGAAAAGCTCAAGCTTAGAATGCAACAAGTCTTCTTAAAGTTCGAATCCAACAAGAAAGCCTTAAGAAAGGTATATCCCACATGTATCTTATTGAGAATTATTTCAGTGAACTTTTGCTTATCAGTATTGAAAAGATGTGTTAAAACCAGTCTGACAACTTTTTTTTCGTAACACCATGTGCTGGAGGGCCTTGAGAAAACAGTTTTGAAACAATATCAGAGCTGAACTACTGAAATGCTTTGAACAAGAAGAATGTTCATTAAACACATTTCCCTGGTTTTTGTTGTGTCCCAAACAACGAAAGTCAGATATTTCATGATTTACAGCCCCTTTTCTAGTGAGATGCTTCAGAAAGAGCTCAAAAGATTTGCATCTTGCAAGTAAGAACACGGTGGACTTAAAATGCTTAACCTACTCTGGTGTTTTTTCAAAATTTTAGCTGTGAATGCGCTGGATCCTGTTTCAAAACATGCATATAAAAGTGTTAATTACCCACCCAGCTCCCCTTATCTTAATTCACTGTAAGTCAGCCAACACCCACGGGAGAGGCTCTGCAGTGACTGGACCATGAGAGATGCAGACATTTTGTACTTCTTTGGAAACAGTCTCTGTGGTATAATCCTGCTTTCTCTGAGTTGCTATTAACTACAACTCTTTGGAGTGAAATTAGGTTTCATTGCCCAAGGCTGTACTCTTTTCTCTCCTGCAAAAGGGCTGTGCTTCAGGTCACAGGTCTGTGCATGGGTCCTCCCACCCAAGCCCAGGGCACAGTTAGAGCGCCTGACAGATCAGCTCCTCTGCAGCCACCTTGCAGTGCTTGCTCTGCACTGAAGGTCTGAGGAGAAAAGACATGGATAAGGACTTTGCAAAGCCCATGAGCTTTCTATTTGATTCCCCCCTTTCCAACTGCAGATTTCTCTGTACTTCTCAGCACCCCTTTTATTGATGTGTAGCAAAGCATTTCAGGTCAGAATGGGTTATTCAACACCTCTGAAAAATACAGTCTCATTGTATACAGCTTGCTCTGAAAAATCAGACTTGAGTGCCAGAAAAACATAAAATAAGAAGAAATCGTAGATGTCATTTTTTGGGACATACTTCCTGACATAAAGGAAGATGCAAGCAAATAGTAGCATCATTCTACAGTGAGAGGGACTGGGTGAAGCATACCAGCTCAGACTAAAAATGAAATTTTGCTAAAGGGTAAGGGCCTTCCAGTATGGCTGATCATCATCAGCAGAACTTAAGAAAAATCAGCATAGTGAGAGAAATGTATTATAAAAATGTTGGGCCTGACTCTAGAAATGTTTGTGAGTCATCAGGGATGCTACCCAGCAGGGAATTGTAAAGGAAGAATCTTCGTTACATCTAGGGCTGTTTTGAAGAGCTGCTGTTGATGGTACTTCCTCCTAGGCATTCCCAGGAGCTGTGTCTGTGTCTACTTTGGTAGAGAATAGATGGTGGATCCTGGTATTAGCAGGACCTTTTACACATCTGTCTTGGTATTTTCTTTGAAGTCTTGGGTAATGGCAAACTAGAGTCTCGGTAGAGATGATTTTTGCAACACAGGAAACACCTGTACACTCTTCTCAAATTATTTCTCCATGTGACAAATGCACACCAGCTCTGCTATGTCACAAGGCCTTTTCACCCTAAAAGTTAGGGTCAGGAGAGACCTCACAAAAAAGCACTGGACAAGGCAAAATCTTTCCCCTAAACCTTCCCTCCTTTCGCCTCCTACTCCGTGTTCTGCTTTTCTGCCTTTTTTCCCCTGTGTTATTCAACCCACAGCTTGCCTTCCTAGAAGCATCAATCCATCATTCCCTATATTTATTTTTGTGTCTGTTCCTGAGTTGTCAAGGACCAACAGATTCTTTTTTATTCCCAGTGTGCACAGCTACAGGCTAGTTTGCATTCAGAAGCTGTAGAAGTGATGTGATTTCTGCAATTTCTGAAACTTTTTCTTTAAACATGGTTATACAGCTGACACCTCTCTTCCTCGTTTTATGAGAGCCTACTCTATGTCATGCACTGAAGTGTGCACTGTTGATATAAGCAGGCCCAGAGCTGGGAGAGAGGGCTCCTGTTCCCAGCCTTTCTACATATTACTGATTAGCTGCCCTCTCACTGCTTCACTTCCTTCAGCTGTGCAACGGCACTCACAAAACTGTCCTTTTCATTATAAAGTGATTTAAGATTCTTGGTGAAGAACATGACATGAAATCAGACAGTCAAAGCTGTTGGAGAAGTATTATACATGACTGTCACTCTATGGAGAATTCTCCAATATCGTATTAGTATACACAAAGCAGCAAAAGTTTGTTTAAGGTTAGCATCTTCTACTCTTAAGCCTGGCTAGGATAGAATAGCATCTTAGATAAGAATATATTTGTGCAGTGTAATATCATTACTGTGGTCTTCAGATCTTGTCGAGATCCTGGCAGAAGTATTTGCAATAAGGAAAAAAAAAAAAAAGCAAGCGATTTCTCTTTTAACCAGTTATCAACCTTGAGACAGTCTATATACTTACATGGAGGTAGTAAATGTCGTACAAACAGTACCTCTTCTTTTGTTCTCTGAAATCAGGATGGCTTCTAATCATTTAAGTGTTGCTATTTTATTAATAAGTGCTACTGTATATCTCTTAATATTTTACAGAAAAGTGATAGTAGGTGAATTACACAGTTGTAGAATTCCTTACAGTTGGATATATAAGAATTTCTGTAACTTTATCTTTTCTCAGAGCAGGCCTCAGAAACTAGTCTCGTAGGATGTAATAAATAATATTTATTAATAAATAAATAATTCAGGAACAGATTTATAAGCACTTAGACCTGTCAGTTACGCCATCTTATTTTCTTGCTGCTGAATATGCCCAGCAAGACACTGAGGGTTTTTTTATGAGAAACTCAAAGTAACTTGGAATTAAATTCTTTCCAATTAAAAAAAATAACTGTAATTCATTGCACTGAATCATGTAAACAACTTTGATACTAGAGG